CTACTTTAGCACTCCAAATCCACATGAATGGAGTGCAGACAATACAAGGCACCCTTGTAATTTCTGCCTTAAGTTCCCTTAACTACTATGAACCTGAAAGAAAGTTAAGCAAAATCAAGCAACACCCTTGGAGATCTGTGGTTTTTCTTAAGACAAAACTTGCACTACTTTGGGTTTTATCCTGTCATGGATTCACACAAGTAAAACCATTAATGATTGTGTGTGAATTCCATAAGCTCAGGAATGAGAAAGCAGGTGAAAAGATAATCACATGATTTTGGCAATTGTCCCAGGATCTTTGAACTCCCGAAGCTGATAATACTGAACAGATTTTGGAGGCTGTAAGGTACAAATTCCCTTTCTCAGCTGGGCAGACAAAGGATTTTCCCCTTCTGTCCAGTACTGAAAAGAGAAGGCATGGCTTAAGGGAAAACACTAACATCAAGCTTTCAGAGATTTAAGGAGAGTTTTACCTCAGTGATTCCTGTTAATGCTAATAACAATATTGGTTTTTAGACTGGCAGCTCAAGATTTGTATTTCTGGCTGTGGGAATGCGATACATATACGGTGTCCCAAAAGTCCTAATATAGGACAAGTTTTCTGAGTTGTTTAGAATGAGAAAAATGCATTTTTTTCCCTTTCATACTCAGAATGGATAACCATTAAAAGATAATATTAAAAATTGTTTGCATGTGGTTCTATCATGCTCACACATACACAAAAGCAAAATAATTCGCAATCCTTTCAGCAAGAAATAGCAATTGCAAAGTTGGTGTGTGAGGTTTCTTTTTCCTTTTTTTTTCTTTTCTTTCTTATTTTTTAACAATATTCTTTAAGCATGCAAGAAATAATCTTCCAGATTTTCCCAAGTGACCACCAACAGTGGGAGGTAGTATTCCTCTGTAGGAACTTAGCGAATGCACCTTTATGCACGCTTCCTGCCTCTTTCCTGCTCTCCAGAAACCTGGGAGATTCCTGGCAGTTCTGTGGCTGCTGCTTTGTGCCAGCAGGAAGAGACACCTGAGTAGAATACTCAGCTTCTCAGAAACTGAGTGTATGGCTCCAGTCCAGAGCATTATCTGTGTTATACCCACAAGTCCTGCAAATGATGGCAAGCGGGCTTGATAAAGCCCTTATTAGACTTAATAAAAAACCCAGGACATCTACCTCATTTCCCAGAAAAAAGACAAAGTGACAGCATCTATGCCTGTTAATAAAAGGCTATATGCCTTCTGTCTCAGTTGCCATACAGCTAAAAGTTAGTTAAATTACATTTATAAAAAATCCAAAACTTAAATTTATCAGTGCAAGTGTGTCTACTCAAACAAGTTCAGAAGTGTAAAAGCAAAACAAAACAAAAAGCCACAAAGTCTCAGGAAAAGTGAAGGAACATGAATTAAATTTGTATATTTAGATGTTATAGGTTTTTTGACAGTACCATGCAGAGAAAGACAGGAATTTCATTGGAGACTGCAGCTATTGTTTTTTATACACAACATCTAATGGGAGCAACTGATTTCCAGCTTATTTTGAGAAAATATATCAATGATCTATTATTTATGAGGTCTTGTTCCATCTAGCCGTGATAAGATAGAAATCCATTTTGCAAAGAAAACAGCAAGAGGAAGGTAAAATTCTTTAATATTCTCTGTCATTATAGCAAAAAGGTTTTCAAAATGTGGTTTTTTTTCAGTTATGATTTTTCCAGAAATTGGTACTGCAAGAAAGGAGAGAAATAAAATCCGTGAAGCTGAATGTCATAGCTGAGAACCTTTTGCCCTCAAGTCTTTATCTACATCTTGTCACCAGATACAGGAATATATGAGGGAGAATTCTTTGTAACTCCATAAATATATGCTTCATATTTGCCATGTTAGACAAAACCTACTCAGTACCATTCGTCTGCGTCTACACACAATCCATTTCATCCTCTCATCAACACAACCTACCATATTAAACAGACCTGTGTCTGTCTCACAATAACTTTCTTGTATCTCTTACTTTTCCGAGAGCTGATCAGCCTCTGCTGTCAGGACCACATCTACGTGCACCACTTTAGACATCTCATTTTCAACTGCCTTAGTCATGGATGTTTACAAGCCATCTGAAAGGAAAGCAAATCCCATTCATTCATTGCCAGCTATTCCTGCAAGTACATAAGCAGTCCCAGACCTCCTGAGGGGCATTCCCCTTGGAAAACACTGCAGGTGGGCAGCAGCTCTTCCTGTGTCCTGCTAGAACAGGACTGTTCAAAAGGGATGCTTTCATCATCATTACAGATCTGTGCAAACAGGTACATAAAGTTACATTATGCAAGTGAGGCAAAGAGCAGGATCTGCATTCAACAAGAGCTCACTAGTCCCCTGGAAGACTGAAGCAGCTCATGATAAATTACTTGTTATGCATTTCCTGAGAGATATTTTAGACAGCTGCAACACTGATCCAACCAACAGGATGAGTTTGTGATGCACAGGACTGTTGTTATTTGTATGAACATCTTTTGGTAATTCATATGGTAATTTTATTTCTTCCCTTACTATTGCATACATCGTATTTACTGGGTCAGGTCTTTTTTTGGCCAGGCTGGTATAACAGTCCTGTATGGTGTCTCCTCTGCTAAATGCAGAATTGCTTGCATTCTTCCTAAACAATTTCAAACACATAGTGAGGGTTTATGTCATGCTGGTTGACAGGCAGAGCAAGGATGTAAGAAGAAAGAACACTTTAGTAATAAAAAATAATTCTCAGCTTACATTTGGAGTCCTTTTCATGCAGGCACACCAAAGGATCTAGCAATGAGGATTAAGGGTATTCATCAGGTCTGAAGAACCAGATTTGCATCATGGCAAAGCGCTTATCTTACAAACATAAAGAAGGTATGTAATGTCAACATTATAAGTAAAACTGAAGATTTGGACACCCAACACAGAATTCTGGCCAACATCCCTTGCTATCTCATTTTTCAGGATTTGGGCTTATTCTTTATATTTTATGTCAGAAAATGTTAGTGTTCTAATGCTAACAATGGTCCAGATTTTTAAGATTTTCATAGATTTTAAAGTACAGAAACAGAAGACTTCCCATATATCATTTACAGAGATCATTGAATCTGAATTATTTTTATGTACTTCAACATGTATGTTCTTTTCTGTTTGAAGCCTGTATTATATGCCATTAAAGATGTTTATTAAGTCTTTAAGTTATTATTCTGTTTTATTAAGAACAATTTTTGCAGTTAATTGACATCATAATATATTACATAACTAATATGCAAAATACAAGACAAGCATTTAAATTATCTGCATAACCTGAATAAAATGGAAACTTTGTCGTGTCAGCTGCATGGTGTCTTTTTTTACCTAATATAATTTGAAAACATATTTATGACTCATCAGTCTTTTAAAGTTAGACTTTAATGGAAAGGTAGATGATAGCTGGTACTAAGAAGCAATAATAGACTAGCTTAGAAACTTGAAAAAGGAGAAAGACAACTGCGAATTCAGATTTAATGTTATCAATGCAGTTTGCTTCCCCAGTGGGAATTCTACACTCATCTTTTCCTCCAACATTCAAATTTCATTAAATAAACTTGATGAGATAATTTCACACCATTAGTGATATTTGCACTTCTGTGGTGCCATTAATTTTGTCTCTCTGGGTATGAGTTCCCTCTCCATAAAAAGGTTGTAAATCAGGGTTTCCTAAAGAGCCTCATAATGAACATGACCTCAGGCTGGGGCTGCCCATCTACCCACAGTGCAAACCCAGTTGTGGGCTGCTTTGAATTCTGGTAACAGTGACCATGACAGCATCCCCAGCTTAAGGCTCTTTTCTCACATATCCCACAGATCTGGAAAAGCTGGTCGGTCCATGACATCTCCAACTTGTAAATGGTTCTGCTGAGTAGGGCCACAATTAAAAAGCCCCTTTAGGAGAGACAGAGAAATACTTTGTGAGCTACAAATATGCTCTGGCCTTCTAGGAACGCCTGCTGCACTGCTTTCAAATCCAGAGAGTGCTGACATCTAGACATTTCCAATTTATGAAAACCCAAAGCGCTTCCTCATGTAGAAACTGCAAAGCTTGTGAAAAGACTAGAAATAGAATAATAGAAATTATGTTTCTGTGAAGAAAGCTAATTTTTATCCCTTTAGGTAACCATGTAAACACTATATTGAAGAAAAAAAGTCTACATGAACTGCTGGCAATGGCTAAAGGAAGAAAAACTATCAATGGTTATCTAGGGCCACTACACTTAAGTCTACTTAAGCTTTTTTGTTAAATATCAATAAGGATACACACTGAGATGGAAAAATTTTCATAATTATAGAGAAAAGAAAGAAGGAACCATTTCTAGAGATTTTTTGAGGGTTTAAGAAATCAAGTGGTGATAGTAATGTGATGTATACCGTATATATTCTATTCCAAAACTAATCACATCGGATGCTGAAAGAGCAAGTAGAAAGGTAAACCTGTAAATATGCTGGAACAGATTACATCTTTCAGAAAGTTACTCCTAGCTCTGTGCCAGTCAACATTCTTATTAAAGGTCTGTTGAGCCACACAAAACCATAGAGGAGCTTGAAGATAACACAGAAGACTGAAAGTAGCTCAGAATCAGGGAACACAGGATAAACAATAAGGCAGGACAGACGCAGCAGATGATTCAGGCAAAGTTCCCCTGAACATCATGTACTTAATATGGCTAAACTCAAGACAATACAAATCTTGGAAAAGTGTATGTAGTTCACCTGCAAAGAAATAAATTTTTAAAGGGAGTGACTCAGAAAGTGAGTCAAGGTTCATATCTGATAAGCAAGTGAACAGATACTGTGAGGACAATGTGCAGGCTAAGGTTATGTGAATACAATCCCTACTCAACCTCTGAACCAACTGGAAGCTGCACAGCCATATCAGCACAGGTGGTAATATTCAGTTATTATATTTTGTATCTTGGTAATCAACAGAGAGAACTACATGCAGGCTGCCATTTTTTTACCACTTTTCAGTTCATTAATGTCTCGCTCCTGCTGGTGATCAGGAGCACGACTATGACCATGACCATGACCATGACCATGACCATGACCATGACCATGACCATGACCATGACCATACCTATTCACGTGCACACAGCTTCTATGGGACATGGTGATTTTGTAACTCTCCAGTTGCTTCCAGTTCTGCGAACACTTATTGACTTTGTTTCTGCTAATGAGTTGAGACTTACCAGGTGACACAAAACACCTGAGGGGCAACCAGCACAGATTGCAATTAACTCTTAGTTCCTGTTTCTGTTATTTAATTAGCAACATCAATTTTGAGCACTACACACGCTGATCACAGAAAATACAGGTAATTACCAACAGTCATCAAACCTTATTTTCTAAATTACATGCCAAGGATAAATGATTTTAAAGTATAAAAATAATGTAAACAAAACATTTTTTATGCTGTGACTCTGCTGGATAAGCTTCACAGTTCCTCATATTAAATGATAATTCCTACTTTTTTCTAGGGTCAGCAGACACAATCTAATAAAAACCATTCTCTGTGGAAATCTCAGAATGTGTTTTCCTACAGAGCAATGTAAAAATGCAGAGTGTGCATAGAGAAATGAACTAGAAGTGAGGTAGGCCTTAGGAACACCATTTACTGTTTTTGCTACTCTGTGAAGATGTACACTGAAGAGGGTAAGGTGTTCAATGGCTACTCAGGGCTTTAATGGACTGTTTTACTTTGGATCCTGTTTCACCTGCCTACAACTAATGGGTACTTCATAGTCCCTGGTCCAGAGCTTTTACATATAGTCCATAAATGTGTAACTCTGAATACTGAAGTGAAAATCTATGCCAGAAAAAGCTCTCCTGTCTTGTAACATAGAAAGACTAAGAGCTAGGTCTATGCCTACAGGACTGTACTGGCTTCTATGTCATCAAAATGAGAAAAACTGTGTTTCTCAGGTTAGCTCCTGGCCTTACACCTTACAGAGACTATACACTGTAAATGAGCAAGTCCTCCAGGTTTCTGTTGAGCCTGAAGGAAGCTGGAGCTGGATGAAAAGTGCAGGTGCCTTTGGTAGTGGCAGAGGTTTGATTCAGGCAATAGCTCTAGGTTTCCGCTGAACTGGAAAGACTATGGCTGTGAATGAAAGGGATCGTTATTCCT